GTCCGAGGCCCGGGGGTTGGGGACCGCTGGTCTACAGTGCTGTACTTGTTTACTGTCCACTCAATCTACTTCGTACCTGGATGGTGTTCTGCTGAGGGATCGGGTAAACGCAGCACTGACTCTGAGATCATTTGGACGAGTGCGTCTTACATTTTACCTGAAAGTTGTTCTCAGTTTGAGGGACAGATATTTGCTTGGGAGAGGGGCACACATACACAAAGGCATCTTTGTTAACTTTGAGAGAGCATCCCATGACATTAAAGCACTCACAAATATCTTACCCCTCAATTTATTATTTGCTGAATCTGCAACAGAGTCCACCTTCCCAGAAACGTAAATCCAGAAACAAAGACCTTATTAGCCTGTGATAACTTGATGGCAGAGCAATGAGTGCACACCACACGTATAAATGCAAACAATTAAGTTATCCACTATTGCAAGGATTGTATGCAGCATTCTAAATTAAGTTTAAGTTTATCAAACCCATCTCACCCTAACCCAGTGGTCGCCAAGCTTTTTTGCGCCACAGACCAGTTTAACGTCAGACGAACCGGCCTTTAAGGTGTCGCGGATAAATACAACAAAATAAAACGATACGACCAAGACAAAAACTGGTATTTTGTGGTTTATTTTGTTTATTAGCAGCGTCCTCCTGAAATGCAACAACAACATTGAGAGTAACATCCTCCTCTCTGCCACTTAATGCTCTCTGGTCGCTATAGTAACGTTTAAATATTTCTTTCAAAATAAGACACACAGCTACAACACGGGAAAAGACCCAGGGAAACCGAGTTAACAATAAAAACCCTGAAAACCATGAATTTCACACCCGAGCATCAACTCTCGCGGCCCGGTACCAAACGACTCACGGACCGGTACGGGTCCGTGGTCCCGGGGTTGGGGACCACTGCCCTAACCGAACACTAATGCTACCTCTAACACTGACACCAAGGTCATTAAACAAACAGTTGGAGGGGTGTGAAAAAGATCTTTTTATTTATTGTCATTGGTTTCCTGTGATAAATGATGTTAACGCGGCATCTTAAAGTCTGCATCTTCTGCACAGCCAAATTTAATTACCGTCTCTTCTTTTGTGAAGTACATAATTCATTATTGTTCTGCATTTAAGAGAAGCTTGTAAATGATAGCGACCAAAAACACGGGTTACACTGTCCCCAAAAAGTTGCTGCATCAGTTGAATAAAAGGACAACATCAACACGGCAGAGACTGTTCATGTATAAGCTTTAATTTTAATCAATTAAAAAACATTTACAATAAACCTATTCGACATTTAATAAATAAGAATTTCCCTAGCAGAAATCTTTCTTCTTATTTCTTTCTGTATTGCAGTTCAAAAGCTCTTAAATAAAGGATGATCGGTTCAGTGCACAGGGGTCACACCCAAAAATTTACATGCTTGTTGCTTGAGTCTGAGCTCCATCCTTCACGCCATTGCATTACAGTAACATCTCTGGAAATACAGTTCCCAAACACTAAGAGAAATGTGCTTTCAAGGTGAATGTGGACTGAGGGGAAACAGAGGTATGAGTGGGCCAACACCAGGGGTCGGGGTGAAGCTGGTTGTAATATCTGCAGTATCCAGCAGGGGTCTTTCCTTTGCCATCTGAAAGCATTTCTCTGCTGTTTGATGTGAGATCACACACTCATGTGGTGCAGTAGCATTCAGTGTACTATATTAACAAGAGCTCCATAACTCAAACTGTCAACATAAAACTCTTCTCTCGTTCTCGCCACAACATCCTTAAATCTAAACTAATTTTTGTTCTATTAATTGCACTTAAAATATGAACTGGTGATTGTACAGTTTTGTTAATGTGAGAGCACCCTTTTTCTGACAAAACATTAAATGCTACATCTTTTGGAAATGCTACACAAGCTACTTCTTCTTCAGTTCATACCGATTCAGTTTTTAGCTCTTCGTAACCACTGAGTTTAGTTTTGTAAATGTCCTGGCGAAGGGACGATTTGTTCTTGAACGTTATGTGTTTATTATTGTTTATGAGATCCGGTGGATCCAATAAAATTCAGGGATCAAAGGCAGGATTTATACAGCAACAGGCCTTTTCACAGTCACATTAGGAAAAGCAAAGGTGCTCCCGGGGACATTAATCACCTTAAAAAATGATCCGCACTTATACAGCGACATGTCTCCTGAGAAAGAAAGCCCATATAAAGTCAGGAGTCCAACTCGTCTAACTATTAATGATGATTTTACATTTTATTATCAACTAATTGAACTGTTTCTGCAGACATTTATGTCCCAATACAGTCCACAAGGAAAGCACATTTTGTTGTAAGTTTGCCAAACATGCATATATATAATCTATATGCATGTTTCAAAGTCTCTTGCAGTGCAATTTTTTTCTTTTTATGCATCAGTTAAACATGATTTACACAAAACACAGCCTCAGCATCGGCCTCATTTGATTATTTTACAGTCAAGCTTGGCTCGTGTGAAAGAATTGGCCTGGATTTTGGGAAATATAAAACTTGATTAGGTGCTTGATCAGCTTCTGCATGTAGTCGGCCTGGTGCTGTCTGAAGGTGAAGAAAATCTGACTAGCAGCTCCTCTAAGCACACTTTTGTATGTTCGTTAACCTTTACAATAACCAAATACAATTAATTTATTAAAATAAATAAGTTTTTAATTTAGTAGACGAAGCTTAAACATTGTAGCACACATACCTAAATTATTGCAGCGCGTGTGTTTTGGATTTGAACTTTTTGCTAAATCTAACAAAACTGTGCCACTAAGAGCCTTAGTGCCTCTCTCTTTGAATAAAAACTAAAAACTATCCAAATAGTCTACAAGGAAAGCATGTTTTGCTGTAGCTTTCTTGTTCAGTTTAACAATTTTTTTTTTTTTTAATGAAATAAATGTTATATTCAGTTCAATAAAACTACATGCATTTTAGAGAGGCTACAGTTAATGGTGCTCTGCTCTGCTTTGTGTAATTTGATGAAAAAATAGACAATTTTGTTTATGAGGTGAGGAAATTGTAGAAAAAAAAGCTGAATCAAGTCTGAATATTGATTAGACATAAAGGAAGTGACTATCGCTGGTCTCAGGATGGTAAACTGAGGACTTTTACGTGTTTAAAGTCTTTTCAGATTCAGTCACACATATGTAAGGAGACTCAACTTCATCTCTCGATCTGTAGAGACGCGTTTGACACCGAGTGCCTGCCTGTCGCCCGTAGTGTTGTCTGAGGCCATTAGCACACCTAGTGAGGAATGAGGCGCAGACCTCTGATCAGCGCCGACTGGTGCCTCACTCTTCATTTCTGTCACCAGGGTGGGAGCCGGGCCTGTGTCAGCCGGCGTCACCACATGATAGGCCCGAAGACTAGGGGGGAAATTCAGAGTGTCTGTCTGGTCACTTTGTGCTTCCTGTTTATTGTGGTCTGAAGGTGACAGCACCTTGTCTCTTTAAGTACAGGTGCGTGTGGTCATCCTCTATGACCCACTTTAGGGGTCTACTCCAATTTATGGCAGCAGATTGAGGAAAACCTGGAAAACTACAGCAAGAATCCCCATTCTTACTGCTGAGGCAACAATACAAATTGTCATTTAGAAGTTTGGAGCACACTAAATGTCTGCTGTGTGGTTTAAGTGCTCACGTTTCCCCTCACCTGGTCCTGTTTCATCAATATCAGTGCTGTTATTGATTGTGGGCTGTAGCCATGTGTGGATAGGAGCATTTTGAAGTCAGCTGAATGAAGCAGGGTGCTCGGCCTTTGCCATATATATTTTTTAATCCAAGCAAAGTTGGGTTTGTGTAAATCTGCTGCTGAAAAGTTTAGCCTTGCTAAAATCACTCATCAGTGCTTCTAAATCACCCAAAAGCTAAAACTAAAAAAAAAGTGATGTTGATGGAACTGATTAAAACGGAGGGATTTTCCAAACGCTATGACAAACCGTTGCAGCTGTGAAACTGCTGCTGAAAACAAACTGATACCGAATAATTTGCTACAAACTTCCCTTAATGCGAACATGTTGCCACGTTTCTTTCATATTATCTATAAAAACAGCAATAATTTTCTGGATTGTGACGCTATGATTGCAGCGAGGGACTTTTCTGACTGATGCAACGTCGACACATTGTGAGGTAAAGACTAGCTTCACGCTTAAAAGCTCTTGGTATGCTTCTTCAGAACAGTCAGATCGCCTTGGAAACTCCCTCCTCCTACATGCCCATCACGCATCAGATCGAAGGAGTGCTGTGTCCAGCAATTTCAGTAACTTTCAAAATCAGATTCATCACTTCACATAAAAAAATGCCCATTTGTATGGAAGTGAAACTTAAACAATCTTAACAAATGTATTACTTTGAAAGCCTACACGTGCACACCAAGATCTTTATTTCTATATTTAAACAAATACCAAAACTTGGAGCTATTAAATTAACCCAGATCCTCAAAATTATGACACTGTTATATGGAAAACATGGCAATTTGTTTAGTTAAACATAAAGAGTTTAATGCTTATGTACCTTTTGAGGTTTTTCCAATATGCAACATAAGCCATAATGGCGTTTCTGGTATCATTTAAACCAAAAACCTTGATGGCACTGTTGTGTTGATTGGTTTCAGGGGAATAATTTGAACCGATTGGAAATACCCTGCAATATGTGTTCCCATGAGCATGCTACAGACAAAATATGGCCCCACTTATTAGAATATTGCTTCACAGTGCATTGAGAGGTCAGTATCTTGCTTTAAGACCTACATGCACACTGCAAACTCAATAGAAATCCCAAATGAACTCATGGGAAAAATTCAGCCAGAGTCAGTACAACACTTTGTAAACCATGCAGATCTCGGCTGCTACATCCTGCGAAACCCTCAAAACAGTGTTTGCATCAGCAGGAATTCCTCAAATTGGGGAATTTTGTTAATTTGGAGTCAGTGTACAGTGAGAAAACAATACAGGACAGAAAACATCTCCATCTTAATTGAGGAATCCAACGACTAGGAAATGAACTGTGGGTAGTGCAGATGCATGAGCACAAACTCTTTTATAATACTCCCCCCAAAATTCAGCTTACTAATGTTTGACAAAGTGAACCACGTCCTGGTGGGCTGATCAGTTACTGAAATTGATGAAGGTGGTTCTGTATTACCTGCGTCTGGGTTTGGACTTAGAGTGGCATACAGGGTTACAGTAAAGTACAAAGAGGTGTCACAATAAATTTAATAACTTTTAACATTAAATATTACTTAAACAGCTTTGCTTTCAAACCAGTAAGATATGTTGGACCTGCGATTTTCGCCGTGGTTGGAAAAATCTCGGCAGATGTAGAGGAACACACAGAAAATGTTGGGCTAATATGTATGAGGAAGGTTCCCCTTCTAGAACACAAGCCTGCTGTCACTCCATGGCCTACAGCGCTTCACTGTGGCCACTAGGTGGTGTTGCGCTAATTAGATAGAGGACACTGTGAAAAGCCATAATTTCTGCTCAGAATCGTGATGGGAAACGAACATGAACATATTGCAAAGATGTGTGAATGGTTGATGGTGAGAACTGATGTAGATGAGACCAAAGGAGACATGGTGAGAGTGTTTGATGCAGAAAGAACAGACAATTGCTGCAGGCGTCTGTCAGCAAGCAGATATGCACATCTTTTTTTTTTTTTGTTTCGTTGTTTTTTTTTTTACAAATCTCCAGATGTTTCAAAGGCCTAAGCCACAGGTCTTTATGTCTGTTTGGTGTTTATGTCACTTTAGGCCAGCGTTCCAGTCACTTCCACTCTTTTCGACGCCAACCTTGACGCTAACTTTGAAAGTTCCTGTAGTCGTCTGACACTTCGAGGGGCTGGTCACTGTCCTTCTCTACGTTGTGCAGTTTGTCTGTAGCGAAACCAGAGACTGTTCCAGCCCTTCATCGTTATCCTGGACAGACAGTAAATGTGTCAATGAGGGCAGTGTGGGAAGGTGTTGGGAGACACTGTGGCGACCATGATAATGTGTGAGGTCTTCAGTGGGTGTAATAACCATAATAGTCTGCATCGCTGTTGCTGTCTTTTTCACAGACCTCTCCACTGCGCGGGGGTGGGGAGTTTTCAGTGCTGGACGTATATGGCGACACCCTCCTCTTCTTGTTTTCACCCACACCTCCCTCAAACAGGCCAGAGTCGCCCGAGTCCGCTGATTTCACGGAAGGTGGTTCGAGCCAAGGCTCCTCTTGCACTACGCCCACAGTGTCTTTGGGCTTGTCCTGCAGCAAGGGCGGCTGAAAAGAGTCCAGGAGTGGAGGAGGGTGCAGCCTGGGGTTCCCAGGGGATGTCGAAGATGAGGAGGAGGAAGAGGAGGATGATATGGGTCGAAACCACCCAAGAGTGGGGCCGGGTTTAGTGGGGTGACCGAGGTACTGTGGGGTGGGCCGGCTGGCGCTCCAACCTGCTGAAGCGGCTCCTGATACAGACACGCTTGTAGATGCAAACGGATGATCTGAATAGTAGCTGAGAGCATGGTGAGCAGATGTCTGCAAGGGGAAGGGCTTGTAGAAACCATTTCCAGAGAAGTCCCCCTCATAGGAGGAAGCGAAGTCAAGCCGATTTGGAGCCACGCCTTGCTGAGGTGACAGGTACCAGCGGCTGTGGGGACCGGGGGTTGCGGATGGGTCTTTGTGCTGCTGGCCCATACCAATGTGCTCGCGGCCATAGAAGCGGCTCTGGGGCAGGGGGCTCATGTACTGTTCAGAGAGGTAGCCTTGGGGGTAGCAGCTCCCTGGTAGCAGCTGCTGGCCCTCTGTAGGGGAGGGGGTGAAGCGATCAGAGTCGGGAGGAGCGTACAGCCTAGGCAGGAGGGAGGAGGAGGAGGGGAAGAGAAGCGAGTGTGAGAAGAAGAGGAAAAAAAGAAGGTGTTATTTCCTGCCCAAACCTCAAACAACTATCAAACATCTCACAGCCCCTCACGCCCTTTCACTGCAGCATGCTGAGCAGCAGCAAGTAATTGCATCTTTTCCAATATTAAAAGGCTGACACGAGCACTCAGGACATTCAAGTGCCAGCAGCGACCCAGTCTCATTGTTAATGCTGAGAAAACGCAGGGTTCACGCTGAGAACAGAAGAGGATTTGCTTTTTGTAAATACAGACATTTTTGAAATTACTTACGTGTCGTAATTGTCACGGAAACCTTTAGCGAACGGGTTATGGTCTATTTTCAGCTGAGTGATCTGTGTAGGGAATAAGAGGAGGGCAATGAGAGAACGTAGGCAAAGGAAAAAAGAGAAGGAGTGAGCAACCACATCGAAGAAACAAGAGCGCAGAAAGAGACGTGACCGACTAATAATTAATGAGGCTACAGTGCAGTTTTATCTCTTATTGGAAAGATTTCATCTTAAAAACCGCAAAGGGGGGAACACAAATGTAAAACTGGGAGAGTGTATCTTGCATGGAGTAACTCTCCCACAGTTTATTTGAACAGCTGTGAAAAATACACCGTAAGAGAGATGTGAGCTACGGTGCTCAGGTCAGTCGAGGTGAAGCGACTCGTAGCTTGAAGGCTGCAGAAATGTAAGTTGGTGTGTCTGCATTTTTGATGCATGCATGCATAAATCAGTAAAACATGTCGCTGACATGAATCATTGATCTCTCAACGTCATTAAAGCTGTGCAATCGAAGTTATAAGAGGTGTTTTTGTGGGCCAGTTGTGGAAGGTTGTTGCCAAATACAAAACAATAAATATGCAAACATGGTAGAATAGCATGTCAGTGGTCTGCAACACAGACTGCGGTTCACACCTTAAAACATATTTTTAAAGCATACAAATCTCATCTTCATCTTTGCGTCTGAGGTGACTTACATCTGCATTTTGATAAGCAGTAACAGCGATGAACTGAGTCTCCGGGAAGATGAACGTCTGAGCTTTAGAAGAGAGGAAGGGGTCCTCCGTGCCATCCTCCTTCACCTGCACGATGTGAAGACGAGGCTGGTATTTATGGAGGGACTGGAGAACGATCATCTGGAGAAAGGGGGATGTAATATTATGGTCATTTGGCTGCTAAAGATTAAGAGCAGGAAACAAAGATACCTTTATTTTACCGATAAGCGAGAAAAATAAAGGCAGGAAATGAGCAGGCAGAAATTGAGTGTTTGCAGATGGTTTCCATCGCGACACTCATAATGCGGTTGATGTTTTCATATATCAAGAATACGAAAGGAAATGATTGAAGTAGTGTAAAATATAAGCAGAAGGTGACAGTTATTGCATTCATTGATATGTTTCAGCCACTCACTGACCACGCGAGCGTATTCACAGACAGATTTGTAGAAAGAAAGCAAATTAGAGGCAAAAGCACGGTACCTGTGCCACATTGTTGGTGCTTCCCTTGTTGTTGGTGAGCTTGAGCTTGCTAAACGACACCTCTTGTCTCATCCAGTGAGCTCCTGTGTTGGGAGAGTCGGGGTGCATGTACATCCTGTTCCCTGCAATCACCGAAGCACATCGCGAGCAGCGCATGTAGTTATGAATAAGGGCTGCGCGCTTTGTTTTATTTATTTATTTTCACATATTTTGGCTTCAAACTATCACAAAAAGAAGAGAACAGGAACATCGTGCTGCAGCGAGTTTTGCTTTGATTCTCACTTTTTCTATTCTGCACCATTTCCTTTACTGCTGTGTTTTATTCAGCTGTTTTTTTTAAAGCTCTCAGTAATAAACAAACTAACTGTGATTAGATTTCTTCCCATAACTCAGCAGCTTTTCCATGAATCCAGACGGTCAATGCGCTGAGACCAAGCAGTTTCAAAATGCAACCTGCCACTAACACTATGACTAAAACAGGTGCAGCATGACACGCTTCATTTCTGTCCCGTCGAATTTGGTAAATTTTGAAATGAGACTTTTTAGGACAGTTTCAGTAATATCAGTGTTTTCTGAGTCATTTTTAAAATGCTGCTATTTACTTTCTGTTTTGCTGATTAGGCAGAGGGAAACAACATTTTGCTGGAGCCCCTCAGGTGTAAATTTACAAAAAATAACTTTGGCTTAAGGACTTAAAATCTTCTCTGATCTAAAGTCAATTTTATAGAGATTTACATGAATTCAAGTTGAATTTGATGCGATTAAAAATGATATTTTTTGCAAATCATCAGCAATTTATGGCACAAAAATTAATGGATATTAATAATAAGTTACTGTCTGTAAGCCACTTCAGTTGAATACAAGGGAAGATGAAAAACGTCTTAAAATGCCACTTTTCCATCAGGTATTTCCCCTGCAAACTGGGATGGCTTTGTTTTCCTTCCTTTTATATTTTCATATATTCCTAGAGCAGCCAAGATTTCTCACAACGTTACCACAACGACCTGCTAACCTTATTTTTGCACACCACATAAGGGTAATATTAAATCTAATTGAGTGAAGTTGTTTCACCACAAATTCCACAACTGTAGCACATCAGCAGTCACCTTTCCACAACACCTGGCATATGTGTGACAGCACCTTGCAGTTTCTCTCATTTATATATTTGTGGTTTGTCTATCATCAATCACACATAAAATGAAATCTCGGTTAACTTGCTATTGTTATGCTTAGTTTTTTCTTTTTTTTCTTTCTGAAGTGTGAACAGGAGGAAATACTGAATGAAAGGTTGTGGAGAGAACAGGGCGTAGAAATGTAAATGTAACGCGTTAAATAATTACTTCTACGCTTGACGTTGAGCACGTCTTTACGAGAAAAGACGAGAGAAGTGGCTGAAATGAACTCTGATGTATAACGAGATACTTGGGGAGAAGATTGGAGGTACATCTGGTGAGTAATTCAGACACTCTTGGATGCTACGGAAGATCAAAGCGGGACCCGGAGAGCTTTGATAGGTGCTGGAGAAACTGTGAGTGCAATTGTTAGTCATATTCAAAGTGATCAAATTACTGGACATGTTTTTAGTGGGTTTAAAGAGGGGTTAAAGATGGCATAATATTCCTAAAGATTTTATTGTCGTACTTTGTAGATGGAGGCTGACTAAAAAAAATACTAGTACAAATTTTCCGCGTCTTAAAAATGTTTGACTGTATTTTTCTGGTAAGTAAATAGGTTTTTAGGATTCGTCTCGGCTGAACACGTTGTAGATTTTAAGTTTAAACCGAGTGCAACAAATATGCATTCCTGTTTAAGTCAGTTATTATAGCTCCTTAAACCAAGGAACATCAGGCAATCTTTGAAAAATTGCAAAACATGTTGTGAAGCTGCTGACTGAAAACCTCTCCGACCAAGTGTGCATCTTAATGCACGTTTTGGTTTCCCTACTGTATGCATCTAGGTTTGCTACAATACTGCTAAATAAACCACTTCCTCAGGCTCTTCCAGGCAGCACACTGAGTGAAGTCTCCTGCTCGACTGACCCAAGTTTATTTTCGATGGCGGGTTTAAATCATAAACTTCGCATTAGAATCTTGTGCAGGAAGCCCCAGGAAGATTGTGGGTTTGAGCTGTTTACCGGCTACTGGTGGTAAATGCACGATGAGAAGAAAATGGCTATTTTCAATGAGTAGTAGACACTTTTTTCACAGGTGGAAGATCTGTTCTTACGTATTAGGAGTACTAGTAAAACTCCAAAATTGCAATATTTGTCATCCAGAATAGCCGGTTTCATTATATTACATGCATTTATGTATGTATCAGTGCAAATGCTAATCCAACTACGTTCCTTTGATATAATGCAACAGTTTATTTTAAGGTTTTAATTATAGTGGAGTTAATATAAAGCATTTTACCATACCATACCATACCACCTTTATTTATAAAGCACTTTAACATAAAACCAGAGTTCACAAAGTGCTGTACATGCTAATAGCATAAGTAAATAAAAATTAAAATGAGATAAGATAAGATAAAATAAATAACTAAAAAACTAAAATAAATTGAAACATGTTAAAACAAATTGAGTCAACCCCTCTAATCAATGTCAAAGGCTTCAGCGAATAAATATGTTTTAAGAAGACTTTTAAATTCAGAAAGAGAAGAGGCCTGCCTAACATGCAAGGGTAGATCATTCCACGACTTTGGAGCAACTACAGCAAAAGCACGATCTCCTTTAAATTTATACTTAGTTTTCGGTACCTTAAGGAGCTGCTGAATGGCGGACCTAAGGGAACGGGCAGGTGTATATGGTTGCAGTAGCTCCGAGAGGTAGGGGGGGGCCAGGCCATTAAGAGATTTAAAAGCAAATAAGAGAATTTTAAAAACAATCCTAAAATGTACAGGTGAAATCGGTCAAGTAAAGTTCAATTATTTTGGTGGTGTACGGCATCCCTTTTATATCCTTTTGCATTTTTACATCTGCTATATATAAAAGTTATAATCTTAGTCGCTTATCGTTTTATCAGAGTCTTTTTCAATAGACGCTGCAGCACTCTTTTTCTTCTTTTTTTAGTATTTGTGAATGTAAATGTAGTTGTTTGATCAGCGTACCAAATCTTGGTTTCTAACAGTCATAAAGGCAGCCCCAGGGTTTTACATTCTGTGCTTTAGTTTCAGTGTACCTGGCATGTTCCCTTCTGCCTTCCCACACTGGACCCACTTGCCGCCCTGGTATCTCCAGTGGTGCTGATCAGCTAGAACGACGTCCACATAGACGTTATAGTGGGCAGTAGGATCCAGAACGCTGATATTGAAGCTCAGAAAGGGGAACATCCTCCTGGAGAAACATAAGAGAAATTTATTTGTTAAAAAAAACCAACCCAAAAACGTTGTTTATACCTTTGTTCACATACTGTAGCTCCAGATTTTGTGGAAACAGTAGAGGTTTATGGATCAACTACGCCCACGTCCAAGGTGCACAGAGAAGCAGATTAAATCTCGAGATTATTCTGATGACAGTTACAAAATGCATCGAAGTGCTGACAGATCTCAATGTTAAACACATCTATCTATAATTGAAAATGTCTATCCAGCAAAGATATGTCTTCAAAGTTAACAGAAAACAGCCACGTGAGGCTGCTGCCCCTGAGTTTTTAAATGTGCATGTGAGTAGCGACTGAAACCCATGTTACACTTTATCCATATTAGCCCTGCACATGGTTAGTGTGTTGAAAAAACAGTTTTTATTCCATATGAAAGGTTTATATTATATTTCCAAATATTAAAACTTGGACTCCAGTAACTTGGATCACTATTCAGAATCAGCTTTATTGGTGTAGACCATTAGTTCATCCTCTTTAGCTCCTCTTGCTTTAAGTCAGCTTTCTTCTCACAAACAGGAGATTTGAACAGCAGGTGGACGTACAGAGCTGAGAGTGGAAAGTAGACCCTGATGCCTGTTGATTGCATGCATATACACTGACATCATTGCATGAAACTTTATGTAACAGAAAACAGTACAAAAGCTGTTGAGATTATTCACGTTTGGCCTTTCAAACTGTAATCCTCGGTTTCTTAAGCAGCTAAAGGAGTCATGAGAGGTGGAGAGGACGGCTGACACTTGAGCTCAATATTTAATGCTGCTTTTAATAAAAGATGCCCCAGAAGATGCTCTTGATTGCTGGGGCTTTACATGTTCAACTCATTTTGATCACTTCAGTGAGACGAGGTAACTGGGAGGTCAGGTTGTCCCCCAGCTGGACGACCCGGGAACGGAGAGGGAGATGGGTTAAATTAAAATTAAAGAGACACACAAACATATAAGAAATGGACTCTGAACACACAACGGCAGATAAACCCTGCTGACATTCACGTGTGCGCCACGTGTGCATGTCGACGCGAAACACTTACTGTAGTGATTCAGAGTTACGAACCCTACTGAGTTGTAGTTCACACTTTACATTATAGCGCAACATGTAACACACAAATGTTAGTCATTCTCTGGGGGAAATCCACATAAGGGAAATTAGTTGGACAATCATGTCCCTTAATATTCATTTTCCCAAATGACTGATGGGTGAGAAAAAGTTGATGGAGATTTAATCGACAAGGCTTTTATTAAACAGATTTTTTTCCCACCTAGTTTCATATTATTTCCTGGTTAAGTTAGACATCAACACGGCTTGGTGAGCTTTAGGAAAAGACCCCTTTCACAGCCACGTTAGAGGCCCGTCCTCTGCTTTGTGGCTTGTAATAATAGTTTACTTGATGAAGTGCTAAAGGTAGACTATAGATAGCAAAGATGTGCTGCTTGCAATGTTTTTGTGAGCAAATCTTCTCAAGCAGAAAAAGTATTTCCTTGAGATTTAACTGAGAATGCCCTTTGATATTATGAGACTGAAGAAATGCTCAAACTAAACGGTGCTATTAGCTGTACGCGGCAAGCATCTGAAATGACTCATGTAGGTGTTTCTGAAATGCCATCTAGCAAATGACTGACTGACATCATATTAGGGTGCAAACTCAGAAGAGGTGGCATGAAAACTTTAAAGAAGCCTGGAGTTTGAATCTCATCTCGATTTACTACTATTACAGATTTATTTGGTTAGGTTCAGGAAAAGCTCGTGGTTTGGGTTAACATAAAAATAAAGATGTGAATAACAGTTTAATCTTTCTTAGAGGAAGACAGTCTAGCGATATGTAAATTTTAGGAAAGATGGCATTAAGAGATTGCAGAACTCCGTAGGATGTGGCCACTCGTGACCTTAAGCTTCTCTATAAAACCAAATCATTACTGAGAATTTTCAGACTGAACCACAAAGTCCTTCAAGAGACTGAAATTGCCGCTTCTGGAGATATGACTAAAAATTTGCCTCACAACTCACCTGCCCCTAAAGATCACTGCGTACAAAAAATGATCTCATTTGTTTTATTATTACAGAAACTCAGTGATTTAAAGGAAGACCTGAGCTTTTCCCGATAACGCCACCAAATCTCATGTTCATTCATTTCTGTCTCTTTCGTGCCATAGCATGCTTATAAATACCGCTGCGATGAACTCTGGGTCCATATGAGGTCACCAGAGTGTAGCTGGTGTAAATAAAGGCATCGTGTTTGACACCAGCTCAAAGCTCCGCAGGCTATGGATCATTTGTAATGACTGACATTCAGCTCCCGCTGCCCACTTTGATTTGTTCGGTATTAAAAGTGCACGAGTGGTTTTAAACCTACAAATGTAAATAGAGTAAAAAACATGCCTTTGTCTATTTTTCTTCAAATAATAGATTTGCCTAAAAAAGAGTTGAAAGTGTGTAAAAGTATAGATGGTTATAATGAGTTCTATGAAAAGCATGTCGTAGTCACTTTAAGAGGGCAACGTGCGCACAAAAACAGAAAGAATAGCTCTTCGAGAAACACCCTTTACTTTCTTGTCTAAAACATTTTGATGTGGGTGGAAAAGATAGATAAGGTCTCATGTCTTTTTGATCACCGCACACTGCGCGCGCACACACACATGTTAGAAATGAAAGTTAGACACATAGCCTAAATATAATTCAGTCAGTTAAAGTTTGTGCCGAGAACATGATACTACATGTTGGCAGCATTGTTTTGGTAAACTTTGGTTATCTCTTCTCGATCGAAACTGACCTCATCTAAAATCAGCTGGGTGATTTAGGGGTGCAAAAACAAGACAGGTGTGTAACGAGACAATAAGTTAGAGGCTACTGTTAGCGACGCCCTGAGGGCCCGTCCGTGCTGATGAGGATTTCACGTGTGTAGCCTGAATCTGCGTACATCGTTTGTACGGGAAATTAAGAGATGCATAAAGTTACTTTTACATTTGTCACATGGTGTTACGATAGAGCACTTTACTCTGTGTTTAAACTGTATAATATACAAAATGAGCAACAGTGCTAGAAATAACTGTAAATAACTAAAAGCTGTGATACTGTGGTTCACTAAGCATAACTGACAGCTATAATCGTTAAGAGTGAATCGATTATTCAAAACTTTTAAAAGATTATTCAGCCAGTTTTGAATAATCGATTCACTCTTAACGATTGTTACGATTATGCTTAGTGAACCACAGTATGACATTCATTTATCCCAACTACTGACTTACTGTTCTAACCAGTAGTTCACTGCTGTTAGGAAACAGCCCAATCTATTAATAAAAAATAGACAGCTCTATCTATTTACACGCTGCATATATTATGTTTAAAATAAGAGCGAGTGTGTGAGACCAAAAAGAACCATATTATTTGTGGTAAAAAAAAAGTGAGGGGGGGGGGGAACTATCTTTCTGCAGACTTTTATTAATAACTTTATCGAGCTTTATTTTAAGTGTTTATCATTTTAATCTGTTTTCCATACCGTTACTGAACATTTTTAGCTGTTAGCCATATTCTTATCAACTATTTGTTAAATTTCTTGTTACAATGAATAAAGTTACTTTAATTAAACTGTAATTTCTACTGTTTCTTTTCAGATTAGTGTGGTTCAGCTTTCCAATTACCCCCCTGGCAATTGCAGAAGCACCCCCTGAGCTACTCGAGCTCCCGGTTTAGGTTCACTGGTTTAAGGGAATGCTCTGCAGAGAGAAAGCACAGATGATGTGATGTTTCACATTATGCATTTATTGCTCATTAGACCTCTCAAAAGGCTGAGCTGCAACATACAGCCACTGGCTGTGAGCACAGCTGCAGCTCCAAATCAGCTTTGGCAGTGGTCAATGAGCAAACTGGTACACCAGCTCCTCTGGTTATCTTTCTGACTGTGAGGCTACAGACTTGCAACTGAGCAGCCACAGCTGAGGGTATGCAGACTGGCTGTGGCCACAGCCAACAGCAGTGTGTGTATCATAATACAGCTCAGCATTTCTTTATGAATCAGAGGAAACGCAAAAGTTATTTTCGGGTAGTGCAAAAGAAGTCTTGAATAAATTCCTGATGTGACCCTTAGGGGGCTCCGTACTGCTCACATATGTACCCATATAGTTTAATAACAATGCTGAAGGTTTAAAATTACTACAAAAATTGTGGTAATTCGCATTTGCATTGATTTGTATTTACTTTAAATTTGGATATATAAATGCAAACTTTATGTCCAGTTTTCAAAAACACATCTCTATTAATTGTAAAAAGAACGACAAAAGCTGGACTTTTCCTTAATTCATGTAAAGAAAAAGTTCAGATGATCGAATGTTTTCCAGTTTGTCTCCTTGACTGCTGGCTCTTTAAGACGGCAGCACACACACACGCCCTCCTTGCTCACTAGTAAGACAAAACCCTATGCTGAACCGTCCCAGTTGGGGTTTTCTGGCTACAAGGCGAGTCCAGTTTAACAATCAATCATAGTTCTCGGTGAAACACAATCATGGCAGCAGCTCTTTAGTGGCTCGCAAAGAACAGGTGAAAGGGCTCTTCTTCCGCAGCAGTATTTAATACAAGTGAAAACAGAAACTTGGCTGTTGAGCTCATGAATGGATTGATCCACCTACACTGAGTGAGAGTAATCTAGAAAGAAGTAGAATTGTTATAATTTTTTTTTTTTTTTTTTTGCCCCATTCATATTATCAGTTTACTTATAGTAGAGCCTTTTATAGGAAATCAGAACTTGAGAAGGGGAGAAACCAAAGAAAACACAACACAGAGGGGTATTTGCATGTGTGGGAGGCTCTTTGTGTTCAAAGTTCACTCAGAGACGCTGTAAAGCACTACATACATACATGATAGTCTGCAGTTATTTTCAGTGTGGTGGCGTTGTGGTAATTAAGGGCACGGTAGCTGTCATGTCTAGAGTGTCACACAAACATGATTTTACTTTTACATGGCAGAT